ATATATATATATATATATATATATATAGTTTATATATATATATATATATATATATATATATATATATATTATATATATATATATATATATATATATATATATATATATAGGTGCTGTGCTTAAGAGTGCGTATTTTTGTTTGTGGTCGTCCCCAAAATCCTTACAACTTTTTGGTTTATCAAACAGCTTTTATAGAAAAATATAATTAAAGCTGTTATTAATCGAATCTTAAAGAGATTGAGGAAGACCTAGATAGGATGAAGAAATGATTTAAAGAAGAGCTTTTTTACGGAAAGATGAGTTAGAACAACTTCTTAAGCAAATTCAAAGCAGTATTACAACAAATAAGGAGAAAAATATAGAAAATAGGGAATTTATAAAGTATTTAAAAGAGCAGTTAAAAGACGACAAAAATAAATATAAAGGATTCTTCAATGAGAAGATAATTTTTTAGATGAGCTAATAAGTGCTGCGTATGCCATAGAAAGTATTCAAGAAGCGCTAAGGTTGACCAGCAATGGTCTTCAGGATTCAGAGAATAAAAAAATACTAATACTGTTGAGTTGCTAAAAGCAAGTGCTAAAAGTTTTATATAAAAAACTGCGCTCCTTGGTACCATAACTGTTATACTTATTGCAAAAAACCTTGTTTCAAGAAAAAATTAACAACTTACAATCAGCTAATTTTTTTATTATTTTGAAAGAAGTTAAAAAAACAGCACTGCTACAATTAAAATTCATCAGAGATGAAAACTGATTTAAACAGCGTACATGTAAATCATTTTTGAAACTGTTTGCCTTAATAAATTTTGTCAATTTCTCAATTTTGTTCTGAACTTAATAATCATTTGTGAATTTGATGATTTCCCAGCAAAAGTATGAAAATAAGATAGTATTGGAATTATTAAATTCTTCTATTACACGGTCTGCACTAACAATCACCAATCATTTTATGTGTTTTACATGCTTATATTTCAGAGGTAGAACTGCATTCTAATGATTAATTAAGTGTCAATAAAGAATTGGCACAAAAACTAGTTGATTAGGAAACTGAATTTACATTTACAAATAAAAGCAAAAATAGTCATAATCGTAAAGATTGTCTGCAAATTTCACATATTTAAAGAATATTAAAGCTATATTAAGACAACTAAAGTTTAGAGACCTGAAGGAAAGACTATGTGGTGAAATGTCCAAAAAAAATTTTGGAACAACTGAATAGACTGAAAGTCGAGATGAGTGAAACTGGTTTAGAAGTATAGGAAGCCATGAACTATTTTATACAAAAGATCCGATGAATTTTAAAACAGTTATTTGCTGCTTAACACCACTTCCCGGTAGTGGCTTATCATCATGAGATTATTTGAAAACTATACTCAAATAAAAAAAAATCATTAAAAATTTAAGTTCTTAACCACTGTTCCAAACCCAAAATCTCAGACTTTGATTGCTTAAATAAAATACCAACGAATTTCAACAAAAAAAAAAAAAATAAAATAAAATAAAATAAAAATATTTAGCCCTTGACTTCCTTATGAAACCAAAATTGTTTATTTTTGAGCATTTTTTCTTTCATCTATTACATAATTAAATTAAAGTGAAACTTGCAATGGAATTGCCAAACCTATTGAACGAGTTCATGGGCACGTTTTGCTTCACAAATAATTTGAGCATTTGTTTCGCACAGATACAACCAAACGAATTATAATTCAGATATTATTAAAAGCTGAAAAAAAGCGTCTTAAATAGGGATTTATAGAAAAAAAAGTCCTTTTCCTGTTGTCAAAAAACTAAAAATTAACCGTTAATTGTAAGACAGACAGAAGTTTCAAAGATTTTTTAATCAAATCATCTTATACACCTCTTCTCCAGATAATTAACAATATATATATTCATCTACTGATTATGTAGATGTAGACAACTTCTTAACTTGTACTATTGCCTTGCGACTTCTGTAACTTATTGCTGCCGTTCTTAGCAGATCTTTAAAAATTAGTTGCAGAACTGTACTTCAAATGCTTTAACTGTATACTGAGACGACACATAAATTGATCACTTAATCTTCCAAAACTTGACTTTTTCTCTGATGACTATTCAATTGATTCTTGATGCATAAATATTCCAACAGACAAATACATCTTTTTGAATACAAATTCTGTACTTTTCAGAAATAAAAAAAAAATAATAAACTCAATTATGTTATCAGAAAAAAAAACATATTCTATGATCCCGACAACATACAAACTGTGACCAATCAAACAAAAAAATTAACTTAATTTTCAAATAACCACTTTTACGGTAAAATAAAGATAAAATAATTTTGACATATACAACTGATGACTTTACTGGCTTGCTTAGCAGACAACTCGCTAGTGATGTTAAACAAATAAACAAGAAGCTGTCTTGCTGTGTAAATCGACAATCGCTAATCTTTGCAGTTACTATTTATGACCTACAAGAATATACACTTGAAAAGATTCATTTTTCGGTTAATAATGCTGAAAACACCAATAAAATGCGACTTCTTCTACTTAAAGTTCATTCTAAAAATTGAAAAAAATTTTTATTTCAGAATAACCATTGATTTTAGAGTTCAAATTCATGGATAAAACAAAATATTATATGTGAATGCAAAAGAAGATCTGCTTTCTTTGTACGAATCCCAACTGATCTTTAAAACAGTCTCTCTATGATTAAACCAACACGGGAACAAGTGTTTAAGATCCAGGAAGAACAAAGACGCTCAATAGGCAATGGAAACTCACGGGTTAGTGAGAGCAGTGTTAAAAAAAAAAAAAGAAAAATTTAGATTTAACATACACCGATTCAGAATCGAAAACATGAGCAATGCGATAGAGATCTGAATCTTAAGCTGAACCTTACCTCTGTAAAACAGTGAACTACTTGATAATATTTTACATCACTTCAAAAGAGCAACACGCTTATGCGGTGGGGGGAAAAACGGATGACTGTGCTGGAGAAAGACACTTCCTTGACAATGAAGGGGATGGGGATGACGACAAAATATTGTGCAGTGGGATGTAAACGTTCTGAATTAGTGATGTTTCTGTTCTACAAAACCCTTGTTCTAAAAAATTCACTTTTTAAAGCGCTATCAAGTTCCTTCTACATGTGTAGTCAAATGTAGGCGTTTTAATCAACAAGCTCATAAGGATGAAGAAGATAAACTAAAATATTTTTGGGGTTAAAACTTGCCTACCGTTACCAGAACAAAAAACAACGAGTGAGGACCATGCTGACGTTTATATGGTCAGCCATGAAAGGAGTTTTCAATTGCAATCTTCTGGTCAGCATGTCCAGTCGGACCAGAAGCTGTGATTTCAAGGGGGTGGTGAGGGAAAAAATTCAACGCTGAAAAAACGTCTAAAATTTGCTGACAGAGTGAACTTTAGCGAGGACCATCTAGAACGTCTAATAAAGGCATCCAGAAATGAAAAATGACTAAAGAGATGGCCAAGATCAAGCTAAAAATAAGAAAAAATACTTCACTACATCTGCTTTTGACTTCCATCGATCGGTTTCCGTTCAAAATTTGTAAACTATTTTTTTTGCATTTGGCGCTAACATTTCTAAAATTCCTGGCAAGCAAAAAGAAAAACTGTATCCTTGCCGTATTCTCCATTTCTCCCCCTCTGAAGGAATTTGTCATTTTATTCGGCTTTTAAGCCGTAAAATTTGATAAGTACCCTCTTACTAACCAAATTCCACTTTTTACTTCTTAACTTATGGCTTTCCACACCTCTTCAATCGTATTTCAAAAGCAGTTCAAAGTACTTTACTTTTGAAAATCCACTACCTACACTAAGATTCCTGACCACTTATGCTACACCGGTGGTCTCCTTACAAGACGTGCCAAAAGTGCTGGTGAATTTAAGTATTGAAAAAAACTATATTTTGCTTAATCCTCTATCTCTCTCTATTAACTCTCGCTCAATTCTCCCTCTCTCTTCATCTTCAGCGTAAAAAAAAGTAAATTGATGCAGCTTAATAAACAGTAGTAGCTCCGCCGATGGCTGTAAAGCCTCTTGTCATGTAGCCATTTAGTTGGACCATTTTACAGCAATAACGAAAACTTCCTCTGCAATCATCACAACCTAAAAGTAGCAAAAATGACTCAGTTCCTGTTCTGATAATATCTGGGGACTTGGAGTCCTATCTGCAACAGAATCTCACAAATACTCCGTTGGGAAGAACCCCGCCCTAGGTCTAATTTAACCCTATTTATTGTTGATTAGGCGCAGCAGCAAAGTCACCATAAACTATGCTCTGCCAACTAAATTCTACTCGATTATGATCATCCTGGCTCTAACTCTTCAAAATTTATCAAGCACCACGCAACTTTCAGAAGTTTTTTATAGTGACTGAACACTGTCATTCTCCCCTCTAATCATCACTTCACTTCGTACATAACACGTTCAAAATTACTCCTTCGTGAAGTGCCTTCTCAGAAAGAAAAAAGAAATGGAATAATTCTGAGAATAAGCTGTCCAGGCTGTCAGAATTACTTTGTCTGGCATGTTAGCTATGTCTGACAAACCTAAATGCCATTCAAACCCTTTAAAAGTGCTCACGGGAATACAGTCCTCTGCGAAACCGAGACCTGACTTAAAACAATATATCCTAACATCATATAACATTCTTTATCGAAAACAACTAGCACTCAGAATCCAAGCGTATCAGGATCACTGGTCAATACACACTCCACCAGAATAAGGACTAAGTAATAACACAGACCCTTTGAAACTGTACAGATTAGAAGCTCATTTCACAAAAAAAATAACAAAAAAAAACGGCCCAATAAAATTCTTCAAAAACGCCAAAAGGACTTCTCGGTGCATTTGGTAAAAAGACCTGCAGTTGAACAATGAATTTCAATTAATACTTGAACACAACAACGGTAAAGATAACATATAGCACTTAATCACTTCGTTCTTTATTTCAGCCATAATTCTGAAACTTTCTATGCCATTACCACAAACCTCAAGGCGCGCACCGCCCAATAAAACGAGGATAGAGACAAACATCACGTACGTGATAACTATTTGTTAACCAGGCTACGAAACGTTCTAACCCAAGACCGTAACCACCATGTGGACAAGAGCCATATCTTCTCTGATCGATGTACCAGTAATAAGGCTCAGCCTTTATTGAAGCCTTCTCGAACGCCTTCATTAGCTCTGTTTCCTTCAAAAAAAAAAAAAAAAAAAAAAAAAAAAAAAA